ATCGAAGATTTGGTGCTTGAAAATCGTCGACTGACAATGAGAGACCTCGCTGATAGTGTTGGAATATCATTCGGCTCGGTCCAAACCATTTTGAAGGATGTTTTGTGTCTCAAACGCGTCAAGTCTCGATTGGTGCCATGTCATACTGCATTGGTTCTTCGCGACTTTTTTGCCAAAAACTCGACTCATATCGTTCCGCAACCACCGTATTCGCCTGATTTGGCTCCGTGCGACTTCTGGTTATTCAGCAAACTCAAAAAGCCAATGCGGGGACGCCGTTTTGACACGATTGAGGAGATAAAAACCGAATCGAAGAAGGTCTTGAAGGCTATACCGGAAAAAGACTATTCCGACTGTTTCGAGGACTGGAAAAAGCGTCGGAAACAGTGCGTTTTATCGGACGGGGATTACTTTGAAGGGGATGAAATTGATTTGGAAGAATAAATAAAGAATTTACATTTTATAAACAAATTCACCTTACTTTTTGATCACAGTAGTACCTATCGTGGAACGCATTTCGGGAAGCATAAGACGATCACCGTCGACTTTTCCTGGAATTACGAGGAGCGTCGTTGCAGAATATTTTTCGAACACGCGCCGAAACAGTAAATATCCGAGGAAAGCGAACGAATCCCGGCAGATCCATGGAAACCGGATGCAGCTTTCTGGACGACCTTCGATCGGGGATTCTCGCGCGCGCGCGAAAATCGACCGGGGCTGCTCGCGTCCATTACCCGCGGACGTCTTGCATAGATCCTAATTATGTAAATTGCGGTGTAACGTCTTGTTATAAATACACCGGACGACGGCGGGTCGCGGAGCCGGGGGGGAACGGCGGGGCACTAAGCCGACAGAATTAAATTTCTCCTCGTGTACGTCATCCCTGCTTTTCATTCCGGGACGTTAGAGCGCATCAGCGATTATCCTCGCGAGCTTCTCGGAAGGCGGAGGAGAAAATAGCGTCTAGACCGTGCCACGCCGGGCCCCGGGTACCGGCTGCGCGCCTCCCGCCCGGTGTAAGGGCACCGCCGATAAAACGAGAACCAGTCTCTCTATCTCCTGGCAAGTGACAGCCGCCAAGCCGCGTCGTCGCTGCCTCTCCGAGCGGAGGACGCGCGGAGGACGCGCGGCGACGAGCAGAGGACGGCCCGGACACGACGGAAACCAGCGTGGCGGGAACCCGAGGGAACCCGACCGAACTCGCGAGCGTACGTGCGCGGGTTATGAGCCGCGCGACCATGCGAGAGAGAGACACGCCGCTGCCCATGGGATTCCCATAATCTCGTTTTTTCAACGCGGCATTGTCGTGCCTACTTACCGGCGTTCCGGGCCCGGCGGTCTCTCTGATCTATGAATTCCGAATTCCTTTTATTTTTCCCTCCGCCCTCTCGCCAGATCACTTCCACGTTCCCCCGTCCCTTCCCCCTGCCGCTATTCCGCCCCTGATCTCTCCCCCCCCCTCCTCCTCCGGCTTTCGCCATCCCCAAAAATCTGTGCCGCGTTTCTATGAAACTCCATGACGGGCACGATGACGGGCCCACAATACCGCCATACAGAAAACGGCCCCGTTTCTGCCCTTCCTTTTTCATTTCTCTCCGCGTCCCTCTCCGCCCTGCCATCGGGGGGGCTTATGTCATAATGCGGTGATTCGAATACCTACCCGCGTGCTATATACTGGGTGTTTCCGAAAGACAGGTTATGCGCAGGGACGCGCGGTGTTTCTCGGACGTCGGATCCTCGGCGGTGTCTTTGTTTGTTCGGAATCAGAAATTTTATGTACGGTAAATTCTCTACAGTTGTTCTTCAGCTTGGAAACAGAAATGAAGAATTTGGGAAGAGGATTGTTCGAGCCTTGTGCCACGTTTTTATGGTCGTTGACAATCTGAAACTATAAAAACGTGACTCGAATAATCGTATACTTGTCAAATTGTCCATTTTTGTTTACAAGCCGAGGAACAGTTGGGGAGAATTTATTGTAATAGTGGCGTACCTCGGCTAGCTTACATTTAAATCCTCGTTTAGCAACATTTCTTCTATCATCGCGTTGCGCAAAGTAAAGCTTGGGAAGCTTCTAAAAATACTCGCGTGTTTTCTGTCAAATTTCAACCTAAACCCTGGATCATATTCGTCTGATATCTCTGAAACGAGGTTCGGGCCGTACAAATTGTTTTAACAGAACATATGAATTTGCTAGAGAAAGTTTAACCCCTTGCCGTACCATTTTCTTCATTTATAACGATTCGAACTGTTTGAAATGTAATCATTCTTCTTGCAAAAAAACGAAAATTTACGTTTATTGTACACCTATGTTTACACGAATTCTTAAATGTTGGCGACAGGAATAAACAGTTTTATTCCCACTGAACCCTCTTACATTGTTCAGAATAATTTGCAAAATTGCATCTATATGTTTGGAAACCACAGTATAACGCAACGTTTTTAAACATGCTGTATGAAAGAACATAATCATTGATATAAGAACATAAAAAAAAAAGATCAAAATTGATCAGGGAAGTTCGAGTTCACCTCACTCTAATAAGGTGTTCGTTAAGACAATTATAATAAATTATAATAAATATAATATTATAATTATAATATAATTATAATAAATATAATATTCTAATATTATAATAGACAATTATAATAAAGCTTGATACAAGGTCCGGGTACGTGTTACAAGAATAGAATAACATTCGTATTTCACGGGTTATTACTAAACATCTTCATTACGAGCGAAGCTCGTTAAAGTACGGCAAATGGTTGAACTACAAAACGGAAGACTGTCCTACAAAGAACCGTAATTAACTTTTTGGTCGTCACAATGAACGACGCGGGACAATATTAGTCCAGGTCTCGACACCCTGTACATATTAAGACCGACCGTGTACACAAGGACTACACGTGAGCGCCGGCAAGGTAACAGGATTCTCCGTGCGAGATCACCTGGCACTTCACGAGCTTCGCCTCGATTTGTGGGCTCTCTAGGCCCCGTCCCCGGGTGAAACTCGAGCACGACTTTCGCGTACGGTCTCTCCAACGGATTTTCCGGGGCTGAGAGTTACGTGGGAGAGCTGAACCCTTTTTGTTTCTGTTCCGCCAGGCTGCTGCGGCGTTGGCGTCGAGGACACGAACGGCCAGGATGCTGGCGGCGCGGGGGGAGGAGCCGGGGCTGGTGGCGGTGTGGCTGTCATACCCGATCGACCACCTCTGGAATTGGACAAGCTGCCGCCTTATCACGACGTCGCGCCTAGTCCTGGTACGTGGGCCAGTTGCAACAGTTCCAATCTGTTCGAAAACCAATTATCGCAAAGCCTCCGTAATTGACGCGGTCGGATTGCGCACAAAAATAGGCAATTTGGGGAGAGGGGATAAGATTATCCGAGCCTTGCGTCTCGTTTTTATGGTACCGATTGTTGATAAATATAAAAACAAACCCCGAGGCTTAAATAATCGTATCTCCACTTTTCAAATTGTCCATTTTTGTGCGCAATCTGAGCACGAATCCGGGAGAAATTACTGTATTTCAACTTAATATCTTAGACAGGACGCTTCGTGAAACGATTGTATTAAAAATACGGTAAATTGTGCCTAATTCGCGCTCGGATTGCGCACAAAAATGAACAATTTGGGGAGAGGAAATACGATTATCCGAGCCTTGCGTCTCGTTTTTATGGTTACCGATTGTTGATAAATATAAAAACGAACCCCGAGGCTTAGATAATCGTATCTCCACTTTTCAAATTGTCCATTTTTGTGCGCAATCTGAGCACGAATCAGGGAGAAATTACTGTATTTCAACGTAATATCTTAGACAGGACGCTTCGTGAAACGATTGTATTAAAAATACGGTAAATTGTCCCTAATTCGCGCTCAGATTGCGCACAAAAATGAACAATTTGGGGAGAGGAAATACGATTATCCGAGCCTTGCGTCTCGTTTTTATGGTACCGATTGTCAACAAATATAAAAACAAGCCTCGAGCCTAGAATAATCATATTTTCTCTTCCCAAACTGTACATTTTGTTCGTAATTTGAGCGCGAATCAGGGAGAAATTACTGTATTCCAACATAATATCTTAGACAGGACGCTTCGTGAAACGATTGTATTAAAAATACGGTAAATTGTCCCTAATTCGCGCTCAGATTGCGCACAAAAATGAACAATTTGGGGAGAGGAAATACGATTATCCGAGCCTTGCGTCTCGTTTTTATGGTACCGATTGTCAACAAATATAAAAACAAGCCTCGAGCCTAGAATAATCATATTTTCTCTTCCCAAACTGTACATTTTGTTCGTAATTTGAGCGCGAATCAGGGAGAAATTACTGTATTCCAACATAATATCTTAGACAGGACGCTTCGTGAAACGATTGTATTAAAAATACGGTAAATTGTCCCTAATTCGCGCTCAGATTGCGCACAAAAATGAACAATTTGGGGAGAGGAAATACGATTATCCGAGCCTTGCGTCTCGTTTTTATGGTTACCGATTGTTGATAAATATAAAAACGAACCCCGAGGCTTAGATAATCGTATCTCCACTTTTCAAATTGTCCATTTTTGTGCGCAATCTGAGCACGAATCAGGGAGAAATTACTGTATTTCAACGTAATATCTTAGACAGGACGCTTCGTGAAACGATTGTATTAAAAATACGGTAAATTCTCCCTAATTCGCGCTCAGATTGCGCACAAAAATGAACAATTTGGGGAGAGGAAATACGATTATCCGAGCCTTGCGTCTCGTTTTTATGGTACCGATTGTCAACAAATATAAAAACAAGCCTCGAGCCTAGAATAATCATATTTTCTCTTCCCAAACTGTACATTTTGTTCGTAATTTGAGCGCGAACCAGGGAGAAATTACTGTATTCCAACATAATATCTTAGACAGGACGCTTCGTGAAACGATTGTATTAAAAATACGGTAAATTGTCCCTAATTCGCGCTCAGATTGCGCACAAAAATGAACAATTTAGGAAGAGGAAATACGATTATCCGAGCCTCGCGTCTCGTTTATGTCAAGAACAATGAGAACGAGCCGCAAGGGCCGAATAATCGTATCTTCACCTCCCAAATCGTCCATTTGAGCAATTTGAGCGCGAATTAGGGAGAAATTACTGTGTGTATTCGTACTACGCAAATACCAGAAAAAAACAACGATGTTAATAATCGGAAAACGCACCTCAACTTCTCAATCATCGGAACATGCTCGCAAACGAAATTATTAGGTTGACGTAAAAATAGCGGCTACGTTCTTTCGCTTCGTGTTTCACGAATCATTTTTCTAATCGAGGTGTACGTGCCTCTGATTGGCCGTTCGATAAGCGTCCGCCGCTCCTCTGGTACCGCGAGTCTCTCACTTATCGAACGTTCGGTGTACGCACTCGCGTCGCAAGCGGTGATGAACATGTTGCACGTGGATTCGAGAAATGAACACGGATACAAGCGATTCGAGAGATGAACATTCGCACACGCGATTCGAGGAACGATCATGTACACGAGCAATTCGAGAAATGAACATTTACACACGCGATTCAAAGAACGATCGTGCACACGAGCAATTCGAGAAACGAACAGCCGTACGAGCAATTGAAGAAATGGACATGTGTACACGCAATTCAAGAAATGACCATACGTTCGCACAATTGGATAGACAAACACGTATTAACCTCTTGACGTATAATTCTCTTCGCAGTTAACGCGATTAGAAATTTATCGATTGCAATAATTTCTTAGCGGGGAAAGGAGATCGACGTTTATTCTATGCCTAAATTTCCTCGAACAAGCGAACGATTCCAATCGCTTGATGACAAATGATTAGAATTTTATTTGAATTTTAAAAGACAGAATAACATCTGTACTCGATAAGCGATCGCTAGAAATTTGCATCGGACTCGTGAAAATACTGCAAAGAGTCAACCCGACTCGATAAATTAACCCTTAGCGCTCCGCGCGTTTCTCGAGTATTGTCTACCAGCAACTCCGGCACATTTTTGGAGCGGAGCGCCTGAGATAAAGGAAGTCTTATTTCGAGCGGAAAAGATTACACGTCCTTGCGAATGCATTTGATTTTATTTATTTTATAAATATACATTTTCCTATTGTAAATAAAAGATAAATTTTCAATTTTGTAATTCACCATGGTACGATATCTTTGGTAACAATCTCCCATGTGCATTCTGGGTTTACTCGCACAAGTGTCACAGTATTCGCTTTGCCAAATAGAGTTACTAGATATTTCTTTCGAGTTTAGAACATTTTCTGCGTAATTGTCGGTTTCCTTTATAATTTCATTTACCGATTCGTCCGTGAAAAATAATTTAAAATATTGTATCGGCTGTTCAATGTTTGTAGGAACTTGTGGTCCAACGACCTGTGACAATACGCTAAAAGGTATTCTATCTGGAATATGTAATTCTTCCGTAACATCACGCCATTCATCCAAGTCTTGTAACGAATTTTCGCTTCCATTTTCAATAATTCTCATTCTTCGTCTCTTCGGTAGTATAATTTCGCCACTACTACTCGAAGTGTCAGGATCATAACCAACATTGTCTTCCACAATGTCTTTTAACT